GTTTCATCCAGGCCCCGTAACTGAGCCAGATAAAGGTTTCATCCAGGCCCCGTAGCTGAGCCAGATAAAGGTTTCATCCAGGCCCTGCAACTGAGCCAAATAAAGGTTTCATCCAGGCCCTGCAACTGAGCCAGATAAAGGTTTCATCCAGGCCCCGTAACTGAACCAGATAAAGATTTCATCCGGGCCCCGTAACTGAACCATATAAAGATTTCATCCGGGCTCCGTAGCTGAGCCAGATAAAGGTTATATTGAAGCTTCACGACTGAGCCAGTTTACGGTTACATCCATGCAGGCCTCATAATTGACCCATAGCAGGTAAGAGTCTGATCCAGGCCCCGCGACATCGCGAGAATCCGAAAATCTATTCGGAGAATCTTTACGCAAGAAAATTTTAACAGCAAACTGGTCACATTTCATATTAAAGTAATTGATGGTAGTGCAAAAAGTTCGTTCAATAAATTCTTGAATTTTTAATGCACAATAACTCAAAAAGTCGACGAGCAACTCAGGAGTTCAGTCAAACGAACAAGGATATGTACGAGATTATTGCTTCCTGTCAGAACTGCGGAAAAAGGTCGAGTTCTTTTCAAATCCATCAAGTAACGTTCATATAAATCCTAATTCTATGTCAGAGAAATGGGCAAGTGGTAATCATATAAAACATTTATACAGATTAGGCAAAGTAGTTATATGCAAGTGGGGAAAATTTAATAAATTTTCTTGCTTTTCTACCAAACTTCTCATTTTCATCCACTAAAAGTGAAGTTCATCAACAAGTGTTCTTTCTCTAATGTAAAGAAATTCGTGAAATAAATTCAATGAAGTTAGTTCACGAATATAATACTCTATTTGTGATACTAACCGCACAACTCAATAATGCGAATAAATGTGAATTTCTCACGCGGTTATTTGAATCACGTATAGATTAAAGATCCAAAGATAGATTATGAAGACTGATATTATGACTGGGCGTTGGGACTATCTTTTAGCGTAGCAAAAGTGTACAAACATTTAATTTACAAAAACACATTTCATTTGGCATTGAGAAATTTCCTCGAACAGAATGGTTTGGCTTCACACGCCGGTTGTATACCCCAACTGCAGTCCGACTGATTTTCATAGATATTTTCATTCAGTAGTAATAGTTGCGTAAAAAATTGTTTCATAATTCAATGCCAAATGTTTAAACCGCAGCGATGTTTGATTTTCACTTATGCCGCCGTATATGTAGTCCGTTAACGTTTATTATGAGATTCATACAATATAGTATTGTAAGTCCAAGATAAAATGAGGAATAATTGGTGCAAATAGCCACTAATGGATTATTTTGTTGCAGCTTTAACGCCATAATAATGCTGAACAAATTAATATTGGTCTAAGGATTTTTTCTTCTTTCGGCCTGCTTGCTTTTTTAGTTACATTAGGTCATGTCTTGATAAGCCATGACCTGATACCTGTAAAAAAGTAAAGATACTTGACAGGGATGCTAGTCAGGATGCTTCGATTGAGTGAAAGACTTGATTACAATTTTGATTTTTCTGTCACAAGAAAGAACTCATTTTTTCTCGGTCATTATAAGCACCATTCCCTTCATGACCTATTCAACAATTGACCACTTACGTATTACCTTTTTTTCCTCCAGTTAAACCACTTATTCTCAAAGTTGGTCGTTATTTAGATCAGAAATCACGAGAGGTCTTTGGGTAAAATTGCGCAAAAATGAGCATACCTTGGTCCTTCTTTCCAGTATATATTTTCCTCATATTTTGCATAGTAGCAATAATTTGGTACTGGTTTCCGGCTATTTCTCAATTCTCCGTTTTCCTTAAACCTCCAACAAAGAAACAGTTGCAACACGACACCCGACAGGACGGTCAAACGTAGACCTATAAAAAGCGGATGGTAAAGCGTTGAATCTTAACAACTTCCGACTATGAGGCTCTAATACAGCCTAAGATTATTTAAGCTATAATACACTTTGCTTAGTGACGTTGCAAAAAATTTGCAATGTCAAAAATTCATTTCAAATTCAAAGAAAAATCTAACAGTGATGGATATCGAAAATCTACACAGCTAAGAGCGTAAAACTCCGGCAGTGACGAATATCAACGTCTACTTACTCCTAACAGTTAAAATATTGAATTATGCAACATAATTAACTGAAAAGCAGCTAAAAGCACTCATCTCATCTGGCTTGAAATGCCGCTAACAAACGGGCAAGCTTTTAAGTTTAACTAAGATGGTTTCACTAACGTGAAAACTGTATGAAGTACAATACTAAAAATAATAATGTCAGTGGTTCGAAGCAATTATTTTTTAAACGGAATCCTGCGTCTCTCGTGAAAAATGTTCATTTTCATTCAATATCAACAGAGGATAGATCTGCACATTCTGCAGTCAGCATCTTCGAGAAATGCCATAGCCCGGGTCAACAGTTTGAATAAATGAGAATAGCACCTGGGGCTAGCGTGCTAGGCTCGGCTTATCATACAAAGTAACATGCGATTTGTGTCTCGCCTAAAAAAGTAACGATATCTTGGCAGTTAAGTAATATAAACTCCAAAAATTGAAACAATTGAGGAAAAAGCAAATTATTTTTTCAATCTAGCTAGAGGAACTAACTGCTCGCTTCAACTAAAGAGTTTTTTTTTCTCAAGTGATAACCGTTCCTTCATTTTTGTTTATATATTTCAATAAAATCAAGTTGAAGCAACAATTAACCTCAGTGCCAATTTAAAAACACTACACCGTTAGAAGTTTGCCTTATAAAGTCTGGGAAGTGGTCAGTGTCAAGTGCAACAACTACAACACATCGATGCAAAACATCATAGTGTAGACGTTAATTAAGATCCAGTGAAGAACACAACTATCATGCACAATCAAATCATTAAAGTACGCAATTATTATATTCTCTATGCCTGTCAATACATAACGCCGCTTCTACCAAAGCGCGAACACCAATAGAGACGAAAAGTACAGTATATCGAACTTGGATTTAAACCGAAGTCTAAGATAGATCGTACGTAGATCGCGACAGTTCCGGCTTCAAATAACGGTACAATCTGTCTAAATTTTACTGTCTCTTAAATATGTTAAATGAAACTTTTCTTTTGTTTGAAATATAATTCTTTAAATATAATTCATTCATTACCAAGCATTGAATACAGCCCAAGAGCAAGTGGTGAGTTAATAACAATACGTAGTCTAATAATAGCCTTTGAAGACACGTTATGTCCTCTATGATTAAATTTGAAACGATAAAGAATGGAAAAATCGGACTAACCAAGAAATGAATTTTAAAAACTCCGATTTAGTGCGAGGGACGAGAAGCACTACTACGCAGGTTCAAGCGTAACTACATTAGGCTAGGTTATGTTATTATTTTAATATCAAACACAGCTAATATTGAGCAAGACAATCACCGACGGCGGTAAAGTTATTCCTTCAGTAATATCGGACTGTGTTTTTTAACGAAAATCTGTAACTTTGTTGCATAACTGGTTTATCAAAGCAATTAATAGTTCGAAGTCAAAGAAAGATTACTTCGTTCAAGCCGAAAAAGTAAATCGTAAGAACCATAATTTGCGAACAAGATTACGGTTGGTAGAAACCTCGTCAGCGCCGAACAGGCTTTGCGAACTCTGTTCCGGAACGTTACTGGTGGAAACATTGCAAATGCTCAAGTGATTCTGGTGAATGGCGTTACTAAGAGACTCAGTTGGCTTCTCATGAGTGGATCAATTGCCTTTTTTTAACTTGGAGAATTACTTGAACACTTCACTTGGTGAAATTCAACGGTACTTACCAGAATTCAAAGGTTTGATTGAGGAAGCTTTGATAACATGGGAGTCATGCAGGGAACTTTGTCGAATGTTCGAGAACAACATCTGCAGCTACAGGGGAGCGCAGCCGTGCACCACCAATTTTGTGCACCAATAAGCCCTGAATCGAACGCCTTGCATCTCTCCAGACATCCACCAATCAGCCGTGCACCACTCGGCTTTGTCCTCTTCCGGCCTTGACCACCATCTGCCGTGCACCACCAGGCCGCGGATCGAATCTGACTTCCGGGCATCGTTAAATTACGTAATTTTACGTTCACCGCATCTGATGTTAGGTTTCAGATAGCATAGTTCTGTTCCAAAATTTATCGTCCTTTGACAAGTGGCCGTTCGACTGAGGGCTGATTCGACCCACGGCCTAGATACGGACGGCTTGAAGTGTTGAAGACTACGTTCCGGAAGGCAGGAATCGTGATGGTCCATTACATCCAGGGCAGTGGTGGTCTTCGGCAGGCGACCCCAGCTACAGATATTGAGATGCAGACCTCCTGCATGTATGCGGGAAGGAAAGCGTCTGCAAGTTTGTGCAGGCGTTCGCAAAAAAGATTTTGCTTTAGGAAAGTAGTCTTACCATGAGCAAATTGAATAAGCTGGGCTCGACTAACAAATTGATTTTAATACTAATTCAATGGGAAGAGATACTCGACACATCGGAGCTTAGCGTCGCAATATTCGATGCAGAACAAAACGTTCAATTTCTGCCAGCGAACAAATACAAGTATCAGAAGCAATCTCCAGAGGATGTGATGTTTCTAGCACAAAAATGTCAGTGAATAGTATTTCATCGATGTTAAATTGTCAGCAAAAGCGCAATTTTACTTATGAGATTTTTTCAATATTACTTCCCGGAAATTTACAGTGATACTGTTTGTTTTTTTTCCTTCTTTAGTACTTCACTTGATTTCCTTATCATGCTGACGTTGCGTGACATATTGAATCTATAAAACCCACGAGTATTAAAAATACTGCAATTCTCTGTGCAGAACAAATGGTGGTTGTCGTTCGGCATTCAGAAAATAGCTTCAAGTTCCCACCATTTCAGTTTTGATTCAAGCCGCTGAAGAGACAACTTCAGGTTTATAAAACTTCACTACATATTTATTCTATTACTCATGATGATATAATGAATGAAAATCAAGCAAAACATTTAGCGGAACTTGTCGACCGACCAACCGGCCGACGGAGTCAAAACCTCATTTCATATTCAGACTCGTTGGACACGACGCTTTCCGACGACGGCGCGTCTATGGCAGGGAACGAGTCAGGGGTTGCCATGCGCAGATAGTTGGCAGACTCGCCCTGAATTATCATGTTTATTTCCTCTTCGTGAGTGAGAGCGCGAGGAAGACAGCGCAGCTCCATTTCAAGATCGTCGTAGTTTATGGAGCTCCGTTTAGAGCCGAGTTGAAGGTCGATGCTGCGGCGCGGTTCTAATTGGTATGGACTCGGAGAACGTTCCCGGGATCGTCCGCGAGATATGGGCAGCGAAGCCACCTTACGAGGCGGGGACAGTGAGCGATCCATTCGTGGGGTGGAAGGTCTCTCGAGGGATCGAGAAGTGAAGAGCCTGTCACCGTTACGGCTCCGTGGCCCGATGGGTTTTTCGTAATGACGCGACGGTACGTGAGTCAAGCATATTTCGGTGTGGCTGGGAGAAATTTCTCGGGTCCGAGAAAGGAGCTCGTATATGTTGGTGGAACCCGTGCTCAAACTGCGGGTGTAGTTATCGCGGAAGCGGACGACTAGATCATCTGATGCATTTTGATTAAGATCATAAGCCCTTTCTGGTTTGAGTGAAACACTCGACTTGGAGCGATTATGGTTGGCAAATATTTTCTTAGACGTAGCATCTGGAAGAGGAGAAGATCCCTTCTTAGGAGAGACAGAGTGCGATTTGAAAAGCATAGGCGTGGGTTCACTAGAAGATTGCATGAGGTTTGTTCTGCCAGTGCTTTTTTTACTCTTTCCCGTGCTCAGTGAAGACATATAATCTGTGTTAGACGACTTGGCAGCGATAGCCGAGAGCTCTTTTTTAGTGGACTCGAGAAGCCTATCGACCCCGATGTGCGTAGGCGTCAGTGCAGAAGAAGAGAGTGAGGCAGTGACAGCATTCATTTGTGTAGTGCTCTGGTGATCTCGCCAAATGGTATTCTGTTGACCACGCTGCTGCTGGGTACCAGGCACCATGCCTCCCCCAGCAGCAGCCCCACCTACCTCACCGGTACGCTGCTTTACAGGGCGCGCCTGACCAGGATACAGACGAATGACAGGCGCAGGGTGCGGCACAGGCGAAAGGTCTGCGGCTGGCGAGAGCCCAGGCGGTGTATCTTGTTCCATGTCACTTGGTGTGCTGTTCTGACGCGCGTGTTGGCGTGTGAGAGTAGCAGTGAGATGTTGGTGGTCTTGTATCTGTTGTGCCTGCTGTTTCATTTTGTGGTGCTGCATAACGTGTTTCTGTGGTTGTTGTGATATGGTAAAATTGGGAGGTGGCAAGAGCACGTCTGTCTCTGGATTAGGAGACGGGGTTAGAACTGATGGGGTCACTGTATACTTACTGCTGGAGTCCCGGCAGCACAAGAGAAACGAGAAAACGGGAGTCAGTGATCAATACTCGATTGAACACAATACTTTAAAAAGATCAGAAAATATTATATGTAAACAGTCGCACTATACGAAAACTTCAATTAATGATTGGACAAAAAAATGAAAAAGCTTCAACAGTTGAAATAATATTTTATTTATTTGCTAACAGGAACCTTATTTCCTGAAGACATTCTGATCTTTAACAGCTTACAGGAACAGTAAGCATACAATGTTAATTGATAATGCCAACAAAGCTCATAGAAAGTAGCTGAAACAACGCCTTTGAAATAAAAAACAGTTTAATTACATTGAAAGGTGAAAAATAATAATAGAAGTTACAAAAGCAAATTTAACGCTCAGCGGTATGCATTAATGATAAGAATACAATACTAGTCAATTCTTTCTTTACAGACGAATTTTAGAATATAAAATGGCTGAAAATTTCACGATATATATTTAGAAGAAAACGTTTCTGAGTGAATTGATTGTACTTGCATTCCAGAACTGTCGAATTAACTATGAAGCAACTCAAAAAAGTTGTCTTCTCTGATGATATGGCGAATTTTTGTGCCGATTTCTTTGCTTTTAAATTCTTGGTAAAGATGAAATTAATCTAGGCAAATTCAGTACCAATGGAGTGAAGCATGAAACAGGGCCAGAAATAAATAATAAGGCTGCAATATCAAATAAATTTTCATGAAGGCAAAAAGAAATTTGGCACAGACGCGAAAGAACCGCAACGAAATAATGCGGTAAATCTTCAGGGCACATTACAGAGAAAAAAAAATAGAATAACTTGCGACTTATGAAGTAAGAACAAACCAAAAAGGACGCAAAAATGAAGGATATAAAATATAAATTAATGTGAATGAAGCGTAAAGAATATTTCCATGAATTTGTGAAAAATGTAAAGCCCTTTAGGGCCAAATATTTTTATGGGAAGGAGTTTGATGAAAAGTCTTGCTTCTTTTTTATCTCGTTCACCGTGAGCATTGTTTTGATTTGTTGGATATTAAATTATTTTTTCTAGGCATAAATCTGAGAAAAAAAAAGAGCAGTCAGTATATTAACGACTTCGTATATTATGTGTATTATCACGAGACCAATGACTACTAAGATAGACATAACAGATAGCGATGAGACCATGAGTTGACCAACTATAATTGGTGACATGAAACACATTTATTACCACGATAAATTATGTTAATTAATATCATACGGCGGTAATACACGAGCAACAGCAGCCCACAAGCATGCGACCACACGCTCACATCGCTATTGAACTTGTCAGCGCTATCACCTTTGCTTAGGTACTTCTATTTCCTTCTTGTGACTTAGATGATTCAAATTAAAGAATTTTCGAATAATTACAGCAAGCTCAATGTCTTTTAGCAGTAAGCTTATAATCCAGCGGAGGATTTGAATTGACTAGATACTAATTAGAACTGGCATATGAATATAGTGAACAAAATCAGAGACTGAATAATTGAACAAAAATCAACTGAGAGCGCCAGCACATGACAGACGTGAGGCTCGTCTGTCATGTCGTGATGCAGACGGTCACATCGGTAGACTATCCGCGAAAAGTTTCTGAGGAAACGACCAACGCGCACATAATTTACTTAAATAAACAGGTCCGGTACAACTTTGTTTTAAAGAAATGAAAAAAAGTCGCAACTCTTCTGTAATTTAAAAAAAAAGTATTTTGTTCGGAGAACCCCCAGAAAAAAGCCACATGGGGAGGACCAAAAGAACTTTCATTATAAAATAAAAATTCCCCATACCGGGACAACCGAGTCACATTCGGAAGCATGTGTTGATATACTTTCAAATTCACAATGAAGCGAAAACTTTTGAAATAAAATGATGCATTTATAACCAAAAAATAAATGGCTCAAAATAATCTTAATTACACGAAAGCGTATAGCGATTCTAAGTAAGGTTTACAATATTTATATACATTCTTAATCACAGCCATTAACATATTCAGTTCGTTGTGCAACTGAAGGCGGTAAACCGAAAGAGTTCACTTATGAATACGAAAGAGTTCACTTATGAATACGAGAAATCGAGTAACAAAATTTAAAATCTCAGGTGCCTAGTTTAGTTGGCACCGCACAATAAATTTTTGTTTCGTCTATAAGATCGCTGATGCGATAAAAAAAAAAAACGCTTGATTTCTTTGGAACTCAAACAACGGATCAAGTCAATATCAGATTTAGATTATGACAATTTTGTCGACATCGACCATCACATGCTAAAATAGAAACGATACAAGTTTAAAGTTAAAGTTGAAATGCTTCGCGTGCCTCTTCCCATTCAGGTTCGCACTCATTTATTGTTATGCGTTGATCTGAAAAAAAAAAATGGGGAGAAACAAATGAAACTTACGGACAGATGAAACTAATCAAAATTAGGAGAAGAGCAGAATTTGGTCGATGATTATCGAAATTGCGTGAGGAATAAATATACCTCATGAAATAATAAATCGTCCGTAAAATTGTACAAAAATAATCATCAATGTGGATGGAAGAACCATCCCGGAACAATCACAAATGAATTTATTGAGAACAAAGAGGGAGGCCTGTCATTAGACGGCAGTTGAAAATCCTGAAACTTTTGAGGCGCTATGAATCGGCAAAAATTCAATTCTCTAAAACTACACCGTTGAGGAGAAATTCATCAATAATACCGGTTCTCGCTGAAAGAATGGACTCTCTCATAAAAAGTCAGGAAGTGTTCATGTAGTTCACTCACAGAATAGAGCATTCTAAATGCTATCAAAATATCGTGCTCCAAGAAACACTAAATGACGCAAATAATTAACGGTGGCCTGCCTTACAGTGAGTGTCTCTCAAAATTCAAGAAGAGCTCATGCAATTGTTACAAGGAATATAGTGAAATAAATTCACGAAAAAAACTCTGAACGGCGCGAATGTTTTGCGTTGACCTCATTTATTTTCGGTGCGCCTTAGATGTCAAGAGGTTCTTATGCAATTGTTTCAAAGAATATAGTAAAATAAATGCTCTACAAACTCTAGACGGTGCAAATATGTTGCGGTGGCCTCACTTGTTGTGGGTGTCGTAGAGCACGTGCTTCTGTATGAAGTCAATGACAGGGTCCTGTAGCAAATACTTGACGCTCTCGCCCCGCTTGAGCGCGCGACGCACCTTCGTCGAGCTCACGTCGTTGCTGATCCACTCCGTCACGATGTGGATGTTGCGCTGCAAGCATATGGAGACAACACTTGCCTTCAAGATACGTTTTGGCCATGAAAGATAATTCATACTGCAAAGTCGCGCACTTGGATTATACAATATGAAGATAGGGTTTGGCTAAGCAGAATAATTACAACTGAAAATTTGCACACTTGAATTATATACAATAGGATAGTAGGGTTTGGCTAAGTAGACTATTTCTTATCGGCAGTTGAATTTTTTGTAAACGAATGCGTACGAGCTCAATTAGTAGACTTGATAAGATTTCAACACAACTTCCTATCTTAAAAGAAGTTACTAGAACCAAGCAAGTTTTACCAACAAAAACAAAATAATGATTCAGATGGTAAATATCATACATAAGGAATCAACTCTAACATTTAGTTAACGTGAACTTCGATTTAGAAACCATCGATTCTTCATTCTATTTACCTTGAATTGAAAACATCTCCATCATATACCGTACAAACTAAAAAATACGCGCATTACAGAAAGCCTGACAAAAAATATTGGTAGAAAAGATTGTCTAGATTGATGAAATCAGTAAGACCAACGCTATTAAAAATCAAGGCACAGAGCAGGTAAAAATTAATTACATTGACCATACCTGAAGTCTTGAGAGAGTGTCGGACTCGTAGATAAACTTGTACGGATTGCTGCCCTCCCGAGTCACCACCACGATTCCGAACTTGCCCACAATCATTTCAATCTGCCCGATAGACACATAGATGAAAATTCAACAATTCGGTTAAAAATAAAACACGCAACATTTTGCTATGCGACGTTCTGCGCAAGGTCAGATCTGCACGATTTGTGACAATAACATTAGAGTTTAAGAAAAAATAAAAATATGACTTTGCGGGACAGCGGGAGCAATGGTGCAGTGTACACCAAGTTACTAAGCGCACCAACCGTGACACGATCTAGAATCGAGTGTCACAAATTGCTTATCACCAACAATGTAGATGGGCTCGATCTTGAAAAATATGGGCATAAAAGTCATCTATGCTCAGGATGCTGATTAGTGACGATTAATTTCCTCTTTAAGAACTAAAAAAGTTAATCATTGAAAGAGTACCGGTATCTCATTAAAGCAACATTCTGACTGCAGACTGCAACATTCTGACTGCAATTATCGTCTTAAAATAAAAGTCTGATTCAAGAAAATCTCTCGTTTAAGAATGTTTCAACATTTTGATAAAATAAACACTCATGCTAAAAATGTGTCTGAAAAAAGAAACTAGTCGATCAAAGATATTTTCACCTCAATCGACATGTCTTGTTAAAAAATACCTCATTAGAACCCCATTAAAGTATCTCATAACAACATGAGCCCCCATTAAAATTGAAGCAAGTGTCCCTGGACTCTGACATCTTCCTCCTTCCAGACGCCGGGCTTGCCGAAGCTCTCGAGCAGGTCTGCCCCGCACAGGAGCTTCACGGTCACCGGATCCTGCTGCAGGTGCCGCCCCCCTCCGCCGCTCCCCACGCTGCTGAGGGCGGTCGTCAGGTGTGACAGCCACGGCACCGAGTTGTCCATACGCTGCCGCTTCACCGACCCGTCCAAGTTGCCGTTTACAGCGCTGTCCATCAGGTCCTGAAGTCAATAAACTTCATCTTTAGTCGCTTCTACGCTCAACTGTTTTGTGAATGTAAACTTATGAATTTACTCTATCCGAGGATTGATAAAATCAAGGAAAGTTTATAAATCGATTAGCAGATACTGGAAAATTTGTAAAATTCTAAAAAAGATTAAATTATCTTGGAAGAAAAATTCCTTCCTGGAAGAAGTGTTCAGGTAGGAGTGATAATGAAAAAAATAGGAACACAACACGTCGGAGCATAAAGCTTGAAAAAGTAGAACCACTTGGGAATGGTTGCGCCATCTGAGGATACCATGAACTACTTTTTCACTGATTTTGTATAAATTAGATACAAGACGATTCCATCATATAAAAAAAAAGATAAAAAAACATTATGAAAACAGAATCGGAAATTGTTCTAAAAATTGGTTCAACTGAACTACTTGGGGAAAAAGAATGTGGAAGAAAATTATTCCAAAAAGATATAATAATTTTTGAATGAAAAATATATTCAAATTTCAAGACACCACAGTTAAATAAATGAGATTCTAAATTAATAAAAATGTTCTAGAAATAAAAAGTATATACTGAGCAAATATGTGTTGGAAAATAAATTGCGTGCTAAATGCAGTGACATAAAATTCACTCAAGATTATCAGAATTTCTACAAAAAAGGGTAAAAGTACCTAAGACCAAGAATCAGGATTTGACTCATCGGGTAAAAAAAATTGATCACTACACCCCTAAGCGCTCAATTGTAATGAGGATAAATGAGGAACACCAGTGAAAACCCAGGACACTTTAAGAACAGCAATCAAGAATTGTTAGAACACCAGGATCTATGTCACGGAAGGAGGAACACCTGCAAGAACACCAGCACAGACCACCAAAACACTTTGGGAAGAGCAATTGGGAACACACTGAATTGCTAGCAGGATCAGGGCCCATGCAATGCAAGAACAGCAAGCTGATGTGTGGCGCCTACCATCTTCTTGGGGTCATTGGAGGGACGGAGGTGGTTTAGGTGTGACCGAATTAATCTCTGTAGAGAGGAATACAGTGACATTATACGAGTTGCTTTAAAATATTGAAGGAAGGATTAACAGCAACGTAAATAAGCCTTGCAACGATGTAAGCACGTGTCATGAAGCAAGGATGCTCGACCAAACTTTTAATGCACTCAGAAAAATAGATTGGTCATATTGTCCAAATAGTGGCACTTTCTGCACTCATACCCTCTTTTGCTTGGTCAAACTGGGTCTGGGTAATCCACAGGGCCTATACTTTCAAAAAAAGTTAAGAGATCGTAAGTTCATCAGCCAATCATTGACGGCCTTTCAAGCAAAATCCACCAATCATAGACAAGGAAATAGAGCGTAAGTACTAACGTTCACGTAGCGGATTTTGAAATTATAGGCCCAGAAGGGCAAGTGCACGGCAATTTTGACAGTCTCAATCCGTTTTGAGTGTAGAGTAAATTTTTTAGAGCAAGAGGCGATGATTGTTTGGCAAGGAGTGGAAGAAGAGAAAGTAGCCAGTCTAAATACATTGCTCCCATTAAACTAAACATAATAATATAATATCAATAACAAATAATATGGTGAACTAAATGAGTACAATGAAAGAAGGCGATACATCAACAAAGAAATAATGGTAAACATTTCTCGGTCCAATCAAATTTCATTGCATTCAAAGTTGCAAGATGAACAATTCCACTTATGGAAATAAAAAAAAAAATAAATAAATTCTATTCAAGCCATCCAAAAAATTAGCGGCTGACAATGATTGCATTATGAAAACCTGACTAGAAATTCATTTACAATTTTCATTCAAGTTGATGGTGAAGAGGAATGCTAAGAGTGTAAGATTTTTTTTAAAGAATTGAATACCTACATTAAATTTATTAACTTGTGACATTTTAAAAGTTCAAAGTTATTAAAGCAGTACTAGGTATTGTACAGCGTGTCCAATAATTTATGGCGTTTTGTTGTAGGCGTGTCTTCACATCACACTCACGTCATTTATTCTGGCTAATATTTAAATTTTTCTACAAATTGATAAAATGCATCGAAAGGAAAGACCTGTCCCTCTGCAAGGCGGCTGAGCTTTTGTAAAGGAAGTGAAAAATAACATTGGCTTAATTAGAATTGATGCATTTCAGATGGTTTCCTTAACATTGACTGCTCATCAACTTATCATTCACTATACAACAATGAATTATTATTTAATATAGAATTGGCAGCAGCATATAAGTGGTAACGAGACATAATTTATTTTACTTATATTGATACAGAGGATTTAATGAAATATGTACTGGATTGAGTGAAATAAGTAGATGGCAACCCTTGTGTTATCTACAAACAGCAGCATTATTTAAGACAAATCTCAGTGCTTAGCATACCATATTATCTAAGAAAGCAATACAGTTTTAAATGAACATTAAGTTGTATTGGCTTCATTATCAGTCCATAATAAACAGAAAAATTAAGCGGATGAGCCTCAGAAGAACAAAAAAAAAAAACTAGGTATGATAATGGAAAACACAGCGCAACTATAAGCAGGAAGGGCAAGTCAAGAGAGCATTTTTGAACCTATATTTTCTCCACGCCAAAGCAGAAATGAAAACGACCAGAAGTTCTATCGAAAATAGTTTTTAGTTTTTAACTTGGTCAGTCAATCACAGACAACTTTTCGAGCTAAACCCACCAATCAGAGGTGAGAAATTGGCCACTACATGCATTTAAGCAAGTTTTTGACAGTACAGCCCCTGAAAATTAAGCATACCACATGATCACCATGCTCCACACCTGATGATACTGCAGTACTTCACGAGTTGGTGTCCATTCTTCCTGTCGGGTCTCCCAGTCTGAGAGATGGATCCAGGTTGAAGAAGTTAAGGCTAGGCGCACCATTTGGCAGCGGTCATTGCTGCCTGCCAGTCCCTGAACAACAAAAGTATGTGATTAAGAATATTATAATGAGACTATTCACAGTGGTCTAAATTTAATTCTTTTACCTCAAAAGCTGAAAATAACTAAAGAAAACATTGAAAAAGTTTGTTATTAAAACAGTTTATTTCAGACGTAATTTTATTTGAGTTTTTGACAATAATTGATGGTAATCTTAAGAGCACAGGAAGACATAGTCCTAACTTTGTGAACTTTGACAAAAGAAAAATCATTTACAGGTATGTAAAACTTTGGTGTAGTATGCTTTTTAGTCAATTTTTATCACAAAGTGTTCAAATCAATTCAAGTTTGAAACAACATGAGTTAACTTAAATCTAAGCAAAACAGCAATCTGTCATGAATTTAAATGGAGAAAATATTTGCTTGATTATTGACTGACCTCTTTACCGTACTTATCATGTACAGGGGAAATCAAGCCAGCAATCACATGAAAGTTGGTGGTCCGATGTAAATAATCTCGAGCAAGTTCTGAAACAAAAGGAATCTATTAATGACTAGAAAAAAACACAAAATTATGATCTTGCACAATGCCTACAGCCTAAAAAACAATGGATATTAATATTCTAAAATCACAAGAAATTGTACAGATATATCTTACAATTTTGATCAAAAGAAAATGACATTTTCAAAGTTGCACACATACAGATATCTTAAAGCACACAATAATGTCTAGCTTTCCAGGAAATTTAATTGCACAAGCATGTTCAATATGCTGATGTTCCCTTAAAGAATGTTTAATGCATATAAATACTGGTAGAACTTTAATAGGTACCTAGGTATATGATATCAATACATACATAGATGTGGAGAAAAATATTTGTCCATGACACAATCAGATGATTTAACAAATTAAGATTTATATACTACCTTTAGAGATCAAGATGCATTAACATGGATTGAAATGAGATATTTGTTATTTATCTAATATAATATTTGCACTTGCTACCTAATATGTCATAGAATACAAGGAGATTGTTAAGTAAATGCAGACAGTTGAGACAGGTTTTTTTTAATTTTCAGGTGAGCTATTTCGTAATTCAAACACCAACATTTATAAATTTGTTTGTAAGTTGGTTTGAAGATTCCCTTGGGCACTAATGCAATCCGGTTGTATGGAGCATCATAATACTTTTGCTGCAACTTCATCAAAGTAACTATATATGTATATATTTATCAAGAGTATTATGCCAAATAATAAAGTATATACTGGTATCCTACATATACCGTAAAATGGGGTAACTTAGACCGGCGGGGTAACTTAGACCACTTTACGTTTTTTTAACAAAAACCACCATGACTCAAAAACTATTTGATATAGAAAAATTTTGTTGATGGGCATTAAAGGCCTAATACTGAGGCTACATAACAGAATAGAAAGATTTAAAAAGTTTGCATATCTAATAGGTTAAAAAATTAAAAATGTGACCCACAAAAAAGAGCTATTATTTAAAGTGCCGCCCCCAAATGGGGTAACTTAGACCACCTAATGTCAGCCCTGACAGGGTAACATAGACCGGCTTGGAAGTTAATATAAAATTACCATATATTACTTTTGCTGCAACTTCATCAAAGTAACTATATATGTATATATTTATCAAGAGTATTATGACTATATAATAAAGTATATACCGGTATCCTACATATAGTCGATCCAATCAGAGGAATATTTCTTGTTTAGTATGTATATTATACACATATATTTAAATTACCCAGTAGTAAGTAAAGGTTCAGTTTTGTTTATATAATATATTGTTTCTGATGAAGGCCAGCAATTTCAGTGCTTTGGTGCCAAACTAGAAAATTGGGCAGAAGCCACCCATGAATTGGATAAAAATGCCCCTAAATTTGGTCACTATCATTTGTTAGTATAGTATATATGCACTGTCCCATTTTATCAGTAAAAATAAGAGAAAAAAAGGCTTATTTTAAGCTGCAATATTTAGAAATTACCATACCAGTGAAACAATTGTTTTTACATTTAATTTTAGGAAAATAAAGAGTCCATTCTTTTAGACTGGCTTTGGTGATGATGGCATCACTAACAACAGGAAAATTCCAATCTTGGATTGGTGCACATTGAATATGATATAAAGCATTCTATTAATATTGAAAGTAATGCAAGTGGTTTGATAACAATCATAATGTTATGCAAAAACTCTGGGCTAACAAGATTGTTTCTTCAATCAATGGCATTTAGTAATAAAGTTTTTATCTAAAAAGTTAGCATGTTTCAATTAAAGTTCAAGAAGCAAGACTGTCAACTTGTCAAGACATAGGTAGGTATAAACTACAAGGGTTAGAAAAATTACAAAATAAGGGAAACCCCTGACATTTTGATATCATAATTTTTTAACATGTTATAAACACTGAAAAAGAACATATTTTGATGTTTTATTGTTTATTGCTGCTGCTAATTGATATTTTATCATTTCACAGATATTTTTAGTACTTTTTTGTGTCTATAACCTATAAATGGCAAATCTCTTTAACTTTCAAAAAGTGAAAAGGCCAAATTGTTGGTGTCTGTATGGCAGGTGCTAGTGACAGTCTGACAGAAACTTCCCAAATGCTTGACATATCTAAAGCCTAGAGGTATTATTTCAAAATTAATGACTGCTTTTGAATGAGAATGAAAAATTCCCTCAGCAAAGCACAGGGCTGGCAGAAAGTCAAAGTTTAATGAGAGAGACTCTTGGTGAAATTGTGAGGGAAATCAATGGACCATGGCTGCTGTTAGTGTTAACATTACTGCAGACCTCAATAGACACCTACAGAACCCAGTTTCCATGAAGACTGTCAGTCAAGAGCTGCACATATCTGGATTCTATGGAAGAGCTGCAATTAGAATAATATGCAGTTAAAAATTACCTTTTAAAGACAACACTTCTAAAGAATACAGTGTCTCCTATGTTACACATCTACAATAAATTTCTAATTTTATTCAATATTTATATATTAAAAAAATTACATTTTTCAAATTATGTATTATTATTATGCCACACTCAGGATGATGTATGTTTTCGGTGAATTTTCCCCGCGCATTTTCACTTTTTTAAGCTATTGCTGTGCACAGTTGGCGCAATGTAATGAAAATTGATTATCTTTGCGCACGTGTTCGCGCAATCCCAGCCATCTTTATTTTAGAAGAAATTTTCTTCAAAGTCATATGGCAACACTGAACACTGTCTGTGTACATTTTGTATGTATAACAGCCGCAGTTTACGATTACCGTACGTTCCGTATCCGACAAGGCGGACAACCGGAAGAGTCAGAAGTAACCCAGACATGTCTTACATTTTATTGTCAGTTCGACTCGCGTAGTCAATATACTTGCGTATATTGTCGACTAAAATAGTAGAACTATTTTAGCTTTCTAAAGTACGGCGCACGGCACATTTTTTTACCAACGTAGTACGGCGCACTGCGCAGGTCTACCGCGCAGGTCGTTAAAATGACAAAATAAATTACCGCGCAGGTCGTTAAAATGACAAAATAAATTCCCGCGCACCTGGCACATCTTCCTGACCAGCGTAGCCGCGCGTCCATATTTAAACTTTTTTTAGCTTTCTAAAGTACGGCGCACGGCACATTTTTTTACCAACGTAGTACGGCGCACTGCGCAGGTCATTAAAATGACAAAATAAATTACCGCGCAGGTCATTAAAATGACAAAATAAATTCCCACGCACCTGGCACATCTTCCTGACCATGGTAATATTATGTATGTATTTTTTAAAATTATGTAACTTGGGATAGTCCTCCGACACGGTGTAAAACTGTTTTAGTAGCAAAACTAATTGGAATATTGCAAAACTAAATATAGTGGCGTAAACGTCAACATTTTTCCTATCTATGTAGTATAAAGGAAGTTGAAAAAGTACTACATTCACTAGCTTTGAAAAATTCCTGAAAAAAATGGCAAAAAACAATATTTTGAAAAACTACCTCTGCTAAGGTCTGTAGTAAAAAAATTTTATGCCGTATTAAAAAATTTTGCTTGGAAAAAAGTGGCAGACAAGTGTCAGCATGAAAACTTTATTTGCGGAATTTACATACCTACATCCAAAAAAAAGGCGGCCATTTCTGCACGGCAGGGCTACTCGGGACACCCCCGGGGCTATTTGGGACACCTCCAAAAACGAATTTACAGTAGAACCTCAGTTAGCAAAGGCTCCAGTTAAGAAAAAAATGGATTAAAAACAAAGAATACCATATTGATTACATTTACCTTGCTCAGCAAAAAAATTTCACTCGTCAAAAAATTAGTTCATCATCGGTCATCACAAAATTGTGCATAGAATGTCATATATAGAATCGTGCACCAGGCATCATAGAATGAAAAGTACCTAATTGACCTAAACTATGATTTATTTCTCCAAAACATATGATGGTTGTCACTAAAACATTCCTTTCCATTTCAGGTACTGTATGTTTTTCACCATCTTTTTTTTATAGTAAATTCACTTAACCCAATTAAAATGGTGTGAAATTACGAGTCCTCCTGTAAGCTTACAGATACAGAAAAAATGCTATAAGGCTGCTGATATGAAGCTTGCAGTGGACAAGGTCATTGTCAATGCTCAATGGCATGTCCATGGATACAGTAATATCACATTTATAATACGGTAATTAATGTATATGCCTATATGGTAAATGGTAATATCATATCAATAAAGGAAAAACAAGTAACAATCACAGAAAATGTCATTTATTCTACCTCTAAATCCTCTACAAAGACTACAATGAAAGAGGAGGACTTCAGACTCAGAGTACTGTTAGTAATGGATGAGTACACTCTGCTGTCTCTGCATGCTTCAAATGTTTTAAAATGATATAATCAAGTTTAATTCCAAGTGTCTCAATTTTTGCTTTTGGCGCCTTACAAATAGCATATGGAATTTTTTGGTTGGAGAATCCATGTGATAGCCCTTGCAAAGAGCTTGGAAATGAGCCTAAACTTGTTTATGAAATGTTTCATGGTAAGAAGTTATGGATGAAAAACGTTTGAAATCGTCCCGAGTAGGTAGCCCCGGTTGACGGTACATTGTACAATACCTACTACAATTTACTAGGTAGCTACGCGTTGTCATTCAATGACTTTGATATTTATAAAATTTATTGTTTCTTAAATCTACACATAATACGCTTGTTTCAAATTTCCATGAAACAAAAATTTAAAAATTTTTATAATTAACAAGACTCGGCAAGTCGGCATGTTCATCTTGCTCCCGGTTACATGACTTTGAGCGACAAGTTTTTGACCCCGTAACTCACCGAACATTCGAAGATGCAAATTCGTGGGCGGATTATAAGACCCACAGGCCAGTAGTACTACTTTTTGAGGCCCAGTCATATTATATTATGCGTATCTTAACACTCAATAACAAAAAAGTTATAGAGACGGAGTAAATAAGAACGAACTCATCAACACAACACCACCCAGCCCTGCCAACGTCCAAATGCAACTGAGGGGTCAGCAAAATTTTCGAGTACGAACAACGATTTCTAATATTTTTAAAAGATTTATTGTACCCAATCAATCAATCAATTTTATCTGGTAGAAATAGAATTAAGATTAGGACTATGATTACAAAAATAGGAAATATCATGCTGAAACAATTTCTTTCCTGCCAAGATACGTCTGAAAGACTGAATATAGAGGGCTGATCGTCTGCTAGGTCGTTGCATGTTATAAGAACTGCAAGAGATGGTGCATTATTGATAAAAGCAGCAAGATTTTAAGGTTATTTTTTGAGCGTTGATTCATGCTCCATCTATTTCATTCGAACTCGGATAACGAATACTCAGATTTCAAGAAACTTCTTTTAACATCCGTATCTGATACAGAGTCAGCAGCCCATAAATTTTATTAGTTTATCCTTGCATTATCTTTTATGTTGAAACCCGTACGATTAATGACCAGAGAATGCATTATATTCTAATTTCAAGTTGGTCAAAAAATTCTTAGGCCTACATGAATAATCGTACGTGTTCCAACAAGAAAATTCTGCCATCTAATGCTTATTCTTCATGTTTACATGTACAATTTTATTGCTGAATGAGGTATATATTTGAATTTGTTACTGTTTTTCCCCAATTTGATGATTTCAATTGAATTTTTGTTTTATCATACGTTTCATTGAGTGAGAAAACGTGTCTAAAATTTTCCGTAGTTGCAAGAGAGTTAACTAATCACTAACGCCGGTTACCATGGAAACGTTTGAGCGGAAAGCCCTGATTCTCCTCACAATTACCTTATTGATTCCAAAAGATGACGCGGTTCGGTTGCAGCAGGAAAAAATCTTTCGAAATTTGTTCCAACATATTTTGACGTCATAGTGTTATTTTATACGCATGATGTGTGATTACGAAATTGAATTCTTGCGTCATGGCTGACGAAAGGCTGAATTTAACTGCTTTTGAGAGTGTCTCACATCTTGAAACGACGAGTGTCAGGAAAAATGAGTGTACAAATGCATTAGTCAGCACCAACGAAAGCATTCAACATCAAACAACGGGAAATTCCTGCGATTGCGATAGCAGCTGAGAACATGGATCTTCATGGAGTAGTTGATAGAGTTGATAAGAAATTTCATTTAGAGAAGCGAGTGATGACGCATGAAAGGCAACCAAACGTTCCGGTCAACACTAGAGATGAATACGCGCTTCAGGTGAGGAAAAAATCAGAGGGATGCAAAATTGCAGAGAATATTAGATAAATATTTTGCTGATACAAAATTAAATCGTTTGTTACTTTCTTCCTTAACGGTACCCTTTACTTACTATGAGCTTCTACTGTGGGCATTGTATATTAATGCCTGGAACAATTTTTTTTTATTTCATTAATAAAAAGTACGGGACAATGGTGGCATATACGAGCCTCATAACTTATTTTATGTTTGACATGTAAATTTTAATTAGCACTTTGGCTTCACATTACTTCACATCTCATTAATTTTTTATATATAAAGCTTCAAATAAAAAATCCTAGAATTTGCATTCGCAAAAATGCAGAGGCTGTTCACAAAGGCTAAAAAACAAGCAATTGATCATTCGAGACTTTAGATGCTCTGAGGATAGAAGTTCTGTTTCACTCAAGACCTTATGCTTTGACGCAGAAACTGTTCATTATTTCACTGTAATAGAAATTCTATCTATGTTCTATTACTATCGTTGACAAGCAGCATTGCAATGCCACTTTAAATAGTTTTGCGTTTTTTTAGTTGTTGAGCTTGAAATTGTGCGTGCGCTAAAATATCCGACGTCAAGTTGAATGTCCTATTTCCAAATTTTCATTGATTCGCAGATCACGATAAGGAAAATTGAATATGAAATGAAAATTGTCAAAAATAAATCTATTGTACTATGATCACGTGATAGCCCAAATAATGTGTAAACCAAGGTATTTTGTTTTAATTTTTTGCACAGTGTTTCACGGGCCCTACAGCAGCTGTCGAAAACATGGCAGTCGCCTCAGTACGTTTCTTGCTGTCCGGGGAAGACATCGCGGAGGCCTGCACAGTTGTGGTCGCCACCAAGACCTGGCCGATCTCGGCGCCCGTCGGCGAGCTGAGGAGGATGGTAGCACAGGTGCTTCAGGTGCCTGCACATGTAGTACGGGTATGTTTGTTGATGGTAGCATCATTCATTTTACGAATGGTAGCATGATGATGGTATGCGAGACTTATTAAAGGAGCAGATTAAAACCGTTTTACTGGTTAAAAACCGTTTATAGGCAGGTTAAAAACCGTTTTTTATTGGGTCGGTCATGATGGTAGCATCATTCATCAAACGGGTATATTTGTTGATGGTATGAGGAGGATGGTAGCGCAGGTGCTTCAGGTGCCTGCACGTGTAGTAGGTACGGTTATGTTTTGTGAAAATAAGTTAGTTCAGTCGCTATCTGAACAATGACTCGCAAATTTCTCTGAGTGGAAGGCCTGTCTATGGAAAATCGATGTCCAAAAATATTCGACAGAAAACAAAGCTGGGTGTATTTTCTCAGTAGTGGGAGACAGAATCTTCTTAAGAGTCTAACTCGCTTCTGTACGTAGTTCATTCTTTTTGATGCTGATGATCTTTTAAAAACAACGTAATTTAAATGGTCTTGTCGAGAACAACCATTAACTTTCTGTTTAATCGTCGCTTTAATATTGAATTTAATCGGGAACCTTAATTTATGTTAGTACATCAGTTTTATCATTCAAGTTCCATGTACATAACAACAAGTTCTCTTTATATAACAATTCTACGCATTTCTTCGTGTGTTTTACATAAAACCCGAAAAAAACTAGTCATGAAGTTTTCAACTCATTTGAACACTTTGCGAATGTGTCAAAAAGTTTGGCACAAGTTTGAAGCTTAATCTGAAATTTTTAAAGAAATTTGGCCGTTTAAAGTCACAGCCATCGCTGGTCGTTGGTTTTCATAGTTTACAATTGCATTCACTTCTATACTGCAGTCAGTGTTAGTAGGAGTAGGGAAGTTTCTTACAACTGCTACGGTGTGTTGGTTTCATCATGTGTTGGTTGGTGTGTTACTTCAAAATATAGTTTCAATCGAGTTTTTTTCTTTTTCAGAGGAGTGCGTTATTTGGCTCAGTTACATTCATTAATTAGATGATGTTACTAATAAAAAGTAAACCTATTCACCTTTTACTCGTATTTCATTCAATACTTCTTAAGAGGTAGAGACTACGACACGGAACACATTTCTAAAATTCCATTATGTACCTATCCTCAGCCTAATACATTTTAACGCACCATTAAAACTACATCTGGAAATATTCGCTCTGAAATGTATTTCACCCCGAATAAATTTTTATCATAAATGGCCCATGGTTCACGAGATACATTATAAGTAATTAACATCGAAATAATTCATCTGGAAGGCCCTGACTGTATGATATTCTACCAATATTCTGGATAATTTGATGCATCTCGAGAAATAACATTTCGGGGTGATCAATTAACTATTCAGACAGTGTATAAATGTCATTCTAATATGAAATTTTAAACAATGTGGCTCAAATGTATTTGCTGGTTCAGTATAGTCATGGAGTGAGAAACAAGATCCATGTTGCTTATATACTATGGCTCAGCGCCGCAACATCAAAAAAGTTACGAGTTAGTAACTCCGTCAGCCAATCAGTGGCTCTTTTTTTAGCTAAACCAACCGATCACAGACGAGAAATTGGTCGCTACGTGCACTTAGGCCGCTACGTGTACTTAGGCTGCTACGTGCACTTAGGTAGCTACGCTCACTTAAGCGAGGTTTCATAACACGGTTCTTCATGCATGAAGAATAATGACTGGGTCATTTTGTCTAAATATGTCAAACTTTCCGCGTGCGGCAGTGATCCGCCTTTTGCCAGGGCTAAACTGGGTCAGAGTGGCCCACACAGGTGCAAAATGTGCATCGCTAAGTGGACAAAGTCTCACTCGTTTCTTTGAGTGTAATCTTCAAACGTGCAGATGGTTGCCAACAAGACCGAGCTGTCGGACCAGACGTGTCTGAGAGACGTGGGGGTACCACCGAGCAGCAGTGTTGCGGTGCAGGTATGGTGCAGTGATCCTGTACTGACGCAGTCACTGCACTGTCTGGCACTGCCTCATGATGGTGATGACGTCACCACCACAGACATGATCACGGTCCATATATACGATGGTGAGTTGAATATATCGGAGCTTAAAAATAATTGTAAATATCTTGTGTAATTTTAATCGTATAAAAAATCAATTCTTTTAATAATTTTTCTGCGAAAAACTGAACCACCGGGAAAAATTTTATATAAAAACATTATTTAATTCCAAGCAGATAAACTTAACTCATTTTTGATTTTGACTCTGCAAATAATGATAAATAATCGAGCAGAATTAAGAAAAATTTCATGTAATATGGATGATACTTTAATTCTGGTTGTAATTTCCGTAGATTAATAAATAAGGGCAATTTGTTTCAAGTGCCGTTATGATACTATTGCGTGAAATAACGTTTCGGTTATGGGCTATGAAGCTCCGATTACGTGACATAATTTTTCATATTTGTGCCATAATATTCTGATTACCTACTCATATTTATGTTTCGATTATATGACGTAATAATACGATTATAGGTCGTAATGTTTCGGTTATGCGTCGTAAAGCTCCGATTATGTGACAATATGTTTCGAATATGTGCTGTCATGTTTCGATTGTGTTTCCTAACGCTTCGACTATGTGCCATAATGTTTCTCCTACCTACCATAATATTCTGATTACGTTCTTTGATGTTATCTGATGCTATAATGAAACGATCGGGTGCTAAAATATTACTTCTTCTTCTAGTAGCTAGAAGAAGAAGTAATATTACTTCTTCTAGTAGCTAGATCTGCAAACACCCTCACTGACCCACTGTCTGTACCAAACTATAGCATGTGGTGTCGAAAACCGCCCAGTGTGAAAGATAACAGTGAATACCATTGCAAGCTAAATTTTCGCGGGAAATCTACCGTTGCAGTTTTAGCAGTACACACGCGGGCGTCAGGCGTCAAATTCTACG